ACATTTTTCCAGATAAAAGAATGGGAGGTAGTGCTCCGGATAGGGGTGTATTTATTAATTAATGTTTGCGCCCAAAGGGATTTAGGGTTCAAAAATAGGCGTCATGAGAGACTCGTCAGAAGGGCCAAATTTTTGTCATGGGCTTTGCAAAGGCCCAGTCCTCCTTGATTTTTTGGAAGCGTTACTGCATCCCAGCTCATATAATGAATTCTCTTTTTTTTTAGGAAGGGTCCCCCAAATGAAGTCTCGTTGAATTTTATCGATATTGCGGCAGATGGATTTTGGAAGGAGGAAATATTCCATGGCATATACTGGGATTGTATTTAAGGTGGATTTAGCAAGGGTGATTCTTCCTGCTGGTGTAAGGAATTTTGTTTGCCAACTAGATAGTCTATTTTTCATGTTATCAATGATGTATTGGAAATCTGAGGCCTTTGGTTTTGTTTTGAGTATTGGAAAGCCTAAGTATTTGCCAAAGTTGTCAGTTGCTTTAATATTGAGGAGTTGAAAGACAAGATGTTTAGTCTCCTCATGGCATTGGGGGGAATAGACAACTTTGGATTTGGTGGGATTGATTTTTTGACCCGAAAGGTGACAGAAGTATCCTAGGCTATTGTGGATCGAATATATTGACTTATGATTGGCATTGGCCATGAAGGTTAAGTCGTCTGCGAAGAATAAGTGGGATAGTTGAGGTCCTTTATTGCTAAGAGTGATAGGGTCCTAGAGTTGAAGGTCTACTTGGTGGTTAATATATGTAGAGAGCAGTTCCATGCACATGATAAAAATATAGGGGGACAATGGGTCGCCTTGACGGATGCCTCTTGATGGGGAAAAATAGTTAGTTCTCGCACCGTTAACCAAAATAGCAATGTTACTGCTAGTAATACAATTCATAATAAGGGAGGTGATCTTTGAGGGAAATTTGAAGAACCGAGGAGTACGGTAGACAAATGACCATTCAATGCGGTCAAATGCCTTTTCAAGGTCGATTTTTAGCATCAGTTTGCCTTTACTGCCTTTTGAGCGTTTAATATGTCTAAGGATTTCCTGAACGAGGATAGCATTATCACTTGCTCTTCTACCTTTGAGGAAAGAGCATTGGTAGGGTCCAATGAGTTCGGGCAAGAACTGTTTAATGCGGTTGACGATGACTTTCGTAATGACTTTATAGATTGTGTTACATAGCCCTATTGGTCGAAAATTCTTTAAATTGTTAGCATTCTTAAATTTCGGGATTAGGCATAATAAAGTTTCATTGAGAGCTTCAGGAACCTTTTGTGATCTAAAAATTTGGTGACAATATCTAAGTACAGATTCTCCTACTATGGGCCAGTGTTTTTGATAAAAGAAAGGGTGGAGGCCATCTGGGTTGGGTGCTTAAAAAGGTTTGAAGGAGAATAAGGCTTGAATAACCTCTTGGCCGTGGAGGGGTTATCAAGAGGTGATAGATCTATTTGGTGGTAGCTAGTGGGGCTCTTAAGGATATCGCTCCAGTTAGTATTGGTGTGCTCCGTTGTGAAGATAGATTGAAAGTAATGGAGCGTGTGTTGGGACAAGAGGTTATGATCTGTAATCCAATTGCCTTCTTCATCTTTGAAGAAGGAAATTCTATTTTTTCCCCTTCTATTAATAACGGATAAATGGAAGAATTTAGTGTTTGCGTCTCCTTCGTTGAGCCTATTAACACGTGACCTAATTTTCCAGTAGTCTTCCTCTAGTTGCAAAATATTATTAAAGTCTCGAATGAGTTCTGTTTCCAGATGTTGGAGGAATTTGCTAGTAGGGTAAGAATGGGAATTTTGAATGCCTTCCAATCTAGCTAAAATTTTCCTTTTTGTATGGAAGATATTGCCAAAGGTTGCATTACTCCAAGTATTTATATTATTCTGGAAAGTGGCAGTGGCATGTGGAAGGTCGTTTTGATGCCAACTTTACCGAACAATATTATGGAAATCAGGATGAGAGCACCAAAAGCTTTCTAACTTAAAGGGCTTCTTTGTAGGTCTAAGAATCACATTACTAGTGTTAATTAGGAGAGGGTTGTGGTCCGAATGCACTTTAGGGAGATGAGTGACCGTGGCATTAGGGTATTCTTGAAGCCATTTTTCATTGGCGTGACATCTATCAAGGAGTTCAAGGATTAAGCCCTTGTGTCTTCTACGATGATTATACCAAGTATAGCGGTTCCTTTTGAATCCTAAATCTATTAGATTACAATTATTTAAGCAAGACCAAAAGCTATGGGTTAGTCGTCCCCCCATTTTTCGTCTTGATTAATAACTTCATTAAAATCTCCTGCTAATAACCAAGGACCCCTATTAGTGTCGGCAACATTTTCTAAACTATCCCATAGGAGTCTACGTTTGCTAAGATTAGTACTTGCGTAAATGATACTAAACAACCATGAGAGGGGGTTGGGCCATACCTGGATCATAGCATGCAGTTCTTGGTCCGTGCAGTGACCAAATTTGTGAGCCACATGAGCACAATCCCGCCTTCCCTACCTTGGGCAGGGACTTCAAGGAAGTCATCAAAGTGGAATTCATCTTTGAGCTCCACATGGCTTTCCATCCTAGTTTCAAGCAAAGCCACCATGCATGGCTTATGAGTAGTAAGAAGCTCTCTGAAATTTCTTTTGAAGGCATCACTATGGGCCCCCCTGGTATTCCAAACTATAAAACTAGTTGGTCGATTCATGAGGGGGAAGTGGGGAGAGGGGTGTAGAGTCTTCTAACTCTTCGTCACAAGAAATTGGCTCCCCCTTAGGGTTTGACTCATCACCACTGCATACTTGGCCAAAGCTCTGTTCATCACTGGACGCAGATCGAATGAGCACTTTGTCAGTGCAACTGGACAGTTGAGGATGTACTTTTTGTCCTCTCTCTCGGAGAATATCATAAGGCTTGCGTTTCTGAGGCCTGAGATTTCTGTGAAGGAGCCCGTGGGAGGAGGTATCTCTTCTACTATATCGATATCTTCTGGTTCCTGTGGTGGTGGAGAAGGTTGTGGATTCATTTGCATGGGGGCCTGTTGTGGCTGGACATGGTGTTGAAACTGCTGGGGCTGCCAAGGGAAGAACAGAGGGTTGACAGCAGCTCCGGAGGAGGGAAGAAGGGAAGATCGTAAATTTGGTTCATATTGAGGAGGGGGTTGAAGTGTGGGGGCAGGTTCCATTGTTGTTGCATGTTGAAGTATAGGGCTGGGGCAATCGCTGAAGCTAGTGGATCCAATACATTTGCCAACCATATGTGATTCATGTAGTTGTCCATGGCGAGCCTCATTCCTTCTGTTATCAATTGTGCTAGGAAGTTGGGATTTTGGATGATTATTAGAACTTCCACTCCATTTATTACCATTGTGAAGAAGAAAGCTTGTCCTTGGATCCCTTGTTCGATCCAGGATTGAGGTTGATGAAGTAGAGGGAGTGCTTGTGTTGCATACACCAACTGGTAGTGTGCTAGTTGGGGTGGGAGATTGTTCATTATGGTGGTTGTGATTCTGTGAAAGCGTGAGAGAGGGAGATGAGGAGTTCTTGTGTGTAGGAGTTGAGTTTGGCGTTGCATTGTGAGGGAGAAAGGACTGGTTAATATTGGAAGATGTGTGAAGGGGATTTGGGGGAGACAATGACTGCAAATCTTGGTTTGTAGATATATTAGGGCTGGTATTGGGGGAGCTTGGCGTGTTGGTGGTGGTCTCCAGATTTGGGAAATCCACTTGCATGTCTACTTGGCTTAAGGAATTTGCCAAGTGTGATGGGCAAGGAGAGGTGGAGATATTGGAGGGGTAATGTTCTATTTTTTCTGAGGATACACGTTGGTTAATACTTGGCAGTGTATTTTTATACATTTGAGTACTGGCACTCTTATTTTTTGATTGGGACACGTTTATCCCACGTGGCTGAGTGCTGGTAATATTTTCTCTTATTTGTATCGAAGGGAGTGGAGCGTGTGTGGCAGGGTTAGAGGCGGCGTGAGGAGTGGTGGTTTTCTCAAACTTCTCAGAACCCATATTGGGAAGAGGAAGGGTTGTAATTTGATTGGATTTGGTTAAACCTTGCTCACTGGGTAATCCCATTTTCTGGCCATTAGTAGGAGAAGTATTGGGGGGAGGTTCCATGTGTGTATCTGTAATTAATGTTAGCGGCGTATGTGGGTTTTCATCATAATATTTTAGATACTGATAATTTAATTGATTCCTATTAGGTTTAGGCTTATAGCCCATAGCCGGAGAGTTAAGAGACGCACCTTGTTCTGTTGGATAAGTGATAACACCAATACCTAGAGAGTTTGGAGACTTCTTTTCCTTGTTGTTTTTTCTTACACTGCCCTCACCAACAACGCAGTACACAACCTGCGCCAGAGTCACCACAGGACAAGCAAGAAGCAGATCACACAACAAACAAAGGCATCGACAATCCACACCAAAGCCACCAAACAGTGAACAACAACACCTATGAATGGCACACAATCTCTAGTAATGCAAGCACAATTTGTTTGTGCTAAATTTTTTAAGGTATTCATGCTACCGCATCTCGACTAAACTTTTATCTACTATTTTCTATTTCACACCGTATTACTTTAATTTACTTTACTTTACTTATAGAAATTTTTACCTCCTATAGCAAAGGTTAACACCTTATTTATTTTAAATAAATACCATTTAAAAAAAATTATATTCTATAGATACCTTTTAAGGTTTATAGCAAAATATTTAATTTTGGTTACCTCCTAGCCCTAAGCCACTAAATACGCTAATAAGTTACACTATTTTCTTTCTCTCTCTACTTTGATACATCTCATTCTCTTCCCCCATCCCATTAAAATTTCCGATCTCCTCCTCCTTCCACTGAATTTGTGCAAAGCCCACTTCAGAGATGCTGATTTCGAATTGTTTAGTTCGTATGATACTTTTTCTGAAGTCGCTATTACTATGATTTAAGGGTTTTGGGAGTATAAATTGCCGCATACAATTCGATGTGCATGAAGAAGAGAAAGAAGATGACTGTGAAACGGAAAACAAACAAGAAAGAGATCAACGAAGAAATTGATAGGGAAAATTGGTTTATTACATCCAAGAAATAGAAAACTCATGATGTTTTCAGGTTTCCTCCTCTTAGAGAATTCAGAGATTTTAGCTTTCAATTGAATGTCAAAGAGAGAAGATTTCCTGATTTCCTGTCCTCAGTTCAAGATTATCCTTTTTCAGCAGAAAGTAAAGACCGTATACCAAGTCCAAGATCCCATCTTTTTCCTGAGTACTCATTCAAATTGAGGAAGATCAATGTATGCTGCTTGGCATTTAATTGGTTTTCTGTTAATATATTTCAATGTATTTTCATGTATTTCATTGTATTCATTGTCTTTTTTTTCATTGTAATTCAATGTATCTTGTTGTATTCCATGTATTTCAGTGTATTCACTGTCTTTTTTTCATTGTATTTCAATGTATCCCGCTGTATTCTATGTATTTTATTGTATTCACTGTCTCGCTATATGCCATGAATGTATTCATATGTTTTCTTTAATTAATATAATTTATGTCTTCAGATGTATTATATAATTTCTCTGAAGATTGCTATGTTTTGAGGTATTTTTCGGTTGAAAATTTTTTTATAACTAAAAATACAAATTTGTTTGTTATAATTGAGTTTGTTGAGTTTATATTAGGAGTCTATTATGTTAATTGATTCACTTTCCGTTTTAAAAATAGTGTAATGCCCCTATTTCACGCCGCCAATACAGTCGAATATAATATCTGTCCAGCTGTAATCCCATGTTTCACTCCATGAATATAGACGAATACACTCAAATACAACAACTAATTAGCTGACTTCCTGATTCACGCCTATTTTTGCTACTGTATTCATAAATACAATAGCTTAAATACATCAAATACATCTTATAACCACAGAAAAGGTATCTATAATCCGTAATATAGAAAATGGTATCCATAGATGGCTAATTACTACTAAAAGAGTGCTTTATGAAAAATTCTCTTACTTATATTCTACCATTTTATTGGGGCATTTGCATTTATATCCGCTTTTTGGGTCACGTTTTAACTTGTCTCCGCTTTGCAATAAAAGTTGCAAGTGACCCACTTTTTGCGTAACTTCAGCATACGGGGCTGAAGTAGCAAAGGCAATCACGCAAAACTTTAGCATTCTAGTTAGAAGGGCCTGAAGTAGCAAAGGCAATCACGCAAAACTTCAGCATTCTAGTAGACGGGCCTGAAGTAGCAAAGGCAATACGAACTTCAAACAGAAGATGTTAAAGTTATTTAGTTCATTTGTAAAAACTTCAGCACTAAATAAGCTGAAGTTTTTTGTCCTGGATTCATTAGTTTTTGTCATAAAAGCTTTTTCAAACACTTCAGCAGAAGATGTTGAAGTTATTTAGTTCATTTGTAAAACTTCAGCACTAAATAAGTTGAAGTTTTTTTGTCCTAGATTCATTGTTTTTTTGTCATAAAGCTTTTTCAACACTTTCAGCAAGAAGATGCTGAAGTTATTTTAGTTCATTTGTAAAAACTTCCAGCAACTTATAAGCTTAAGTTTTTGAAAAAGCTTTCTAACATACTAGATAAATAATCACCTTATTCTTTCATAGTGTATTACTACTGTAAAATAATCAGATTGCCAACAGTATCTAAATCATAAATTTTTGAAACAATAAACGTGAAAATACAGAATTATCATGAAAAGAATCACTAAGTGTGACCTTAAACTTCACGTACGTGAAAATATTCATAAATTATTGTCTACTAACTTACGTAATTATTTATAATTTATTTTTAAATAATCTGATAAACATACTTATGGCAATCATCGCATGAACTGAAATTTCATAGCAACACCAACAGCAGCATAAGAAAGAAGAAGAAGAAGAAGAAGGAGGAGGAGGAGGAGAAAAGGGCTGAAGTTATTTAAAAAGTGGGTACAAGTTAAAAAAAATGGGTATAGGTTAAATGGGGGCGACCAAATAGGGCGCCCCGTGCAATTTTTACCATTTTATTAGAGAGAGTTAGCCGGCACCTCCCGTCAAAAGCAGGTAGCAGGTCAACATGCCTGCTTGCTAATTAGGGACAAAATTGGAATTACTCATTGGATATGCTTTATTGAGTACTACTTTGTTGCTTCAATTTTGGTACATTTCAGTAAAGGCTTAGATGACGACAGACCACGTAAAGGCCTTTTGGAGAATTCATATGGTCTAATGATGTGATATGGGCTCAGTTGGATGCTTTTAGTGATTACATTAAAATTAAATTATTTTAGTGGCTGGCAAAAACGGTTACTGTAGCTACTTATATACAGTTTAGAGTTCCCTTCAATGTGTGGTCCTTGCTTTTTGCTAATTGTTTTTGAATGTAGAACTCCAAGTGGCATTTTTGAGGTGAAAATCCAAATTAAGATTTAACAAAATGACCAAATTTTTCTTTTTTAAAATCTATAATATCATAGATAACTTTAAAGTTATCATAGAAATATTTTCCAATGCATTAATTTTTCAATTATTAAAACCAAATAACTTAGATAATTTACTAATAAAAACATAACTATGATAGTGAAATATTATATAACATATAACACTATACCTATCCAACTTACAAATGAACATAATTTAGCAACGAAAATTCAAATTCCAGTGACACTAATACACTATTAACAAGTAATAAAATAATACAAACATAATTAAATATGTACCAATAATTTACAACTCAGTTTCTTCCATTCCAAGTCTTTATGTTTTTTGGCCGAATAAATGTACTGTATTGAAAGCAGTAAAGGAGGTTAAGAAGTATCATTACTAACACGTATTAATTTCGGCGATGTAGTACCACACCAAGTGTCCGTATATTATCTCGCACATGAAAACTAATGTTTCATTCTTGTCTAATATCTTTTTGTTTGCTAAAGGGGAGAAAATTAATTTGATATAGTCAAATACACAAAGAAGCTTCAAAATCAAGCATTAGTACATAATAGTTGTTAATTACTCCTACTAATAGAATGATGGCAGCAATGTCTAATTAAAACTAATAAAGTATTACTAATTACCTTAATAGGGACCAAGTAGGATAAGGAATTCACGGTTAAATTAACGAAAAAGTTATACTATACCTAAAATTAGCAATACTCATCTCTAAAATCTTATAAAAATAAAATAGCAGAGTAAAACGGATTCCAACTTAACATGAAAAAGAAAAACAAGAAATGACCTTGCTTGTAAAGTTATTTTTCTAATTATATTTAAAAAACTTTAAAAATTGTATATATAAGCTTTTGAGGCATTACATGGTGTCTTACCAGTACATTTAGTAGCTTTCACGGACTTTCCTATGATCAAAAATATTTTAGCTAAATTAATTTGCAAAAGTAATTATGACTTTGAAAAAACAAGAAGGCATTAAATCAAAAATATTTTAATTAAATTAATTTTGCATTATAACTTTAAAAAAATGAAGAAGGCATTAATTAGTATTTTCCAAATCCATCCTTATCTAACAAAATGATCTACAAAATATGAGGATATACAAAGAGTAATTTAAGAAGATATAAAAGGATAACTTAGTTAAATAACGCTTATATTTATATTATTAAATGATTCTCTTAATAAGTGTGTCAAAAACTCAGAAACACTTATTTTGAACGAGAGATAGCATCGCCTAAGAAACTATCCATAGAAATTTTAATAACTTGACATTGTAAGTAAAATTTGTATATATTATCAATGCATATAAATTAAGCATGGAGCGTTTGGTCGTCTATACGAGGAATTGGGGGAGAAAGGCGGGGACAGGAAGTTGTTTCGGCTGGCTAAACCGAGGGAGAGGAAGGCCCGGGACCTGGACCAAGTAAGGTGCATCAAAGACGAGGATGGTAGAGTATTGATGGGAGAGTCCCACATTAAGCAGAGATGGCAGACGTACTTCTATGGTCTTCTACACGAGGAGGGGGACCGGGATATAGCGCTAGGGGATTTGGGGCATTCGGAGAGTCTCCGAGATTTTAGGTATTGCAGGCGCATAAAGGTGGAGGAGGTCGTGGGGGCTTTTCATAAGATGAGTAGGGGTAGAGCGACCGGGACAGACGAAATTCCGGTTGAGTTTTGGAAGTGTGTGGGTAGAGCAGGATTGGAGTGGCTGACTGGGTTGTTCAATGTAATTTTTAGGACGAAGAAGATGCCGGAGGAGTGGAGGTCGAGTACAATGGTACCATTGTACAAGAACAAAAGTGATATCCAGTGTTGTAACAATTATAGGGGTATCAAGTTACTAAGCCATACCATGAAAGTCTTGGAGAGGGTGGTGGAGGTGAGGGTGAGGAAGATGACATCTATATCCGACAATTAGTTTGGGTTCATGCCGGGTCACTCCACTATGGAAGCTATCCACCTTATTAGGAGGTTGGTGGAACAGTACATGGATAAGAAGAAGGATCTGTACATGGTGTTTATTTACTTGGAGAAAGCGTATGACAAGGTCCCTAGGGAGGTGCTATGGAGATGTCTTGAGGCAAAGGGCGTGCCAGTAGCCTACATAAGAGCGATCAAGGACATATACGATGGAGCTAAGACTAAGGGTAGGACTGTGGGAGGCGACTCAGAGCATTTCCCGGCTGTTATGGGATTACACTAAGGCTCTGCGCTTAGCCTGTTCTTATTTACCTTGGTGATGGATGCACTGACACAGCATATTCAAGGGGATGTGCCATGGTGTATGTTATTTGCTAATGACATAGTTCTAATTGATGAGACGAGGGTCGGTGTTAATGAGAGGTTGGAGGTTTGGAGACAGACCCTCGAGTCTAAGGGTTTCAAATTGAGCAGGTCTAAGACAGAGTACTTGGAGTGCAAGTTTAGCGCTGAGTCGAGGGAAGTAGGCAAAGACGTGAGGCTTGGATCACAGGTCATCCCCAAGAGAGATAGCTTCAAGTACCTTGGATCGATGATTCGGGGGGACGCAGAGATCGACGAGGACGTCACTCACCGTATAGGGGCGGTCTGGATGAAATGGAGGCTTGCATCTGGAGTCTTGTGTGATAAGAAAGTGCCACCGATACTCAAAAGTAAGTTTTATAGAGCTGTGGTTAGACCGGCCATGTTGTATGGGGCAGAGTGTTGGCCGGTTAAGAACTCCCATATCCAGAGGATGAAGGTAGCAGATATGAGGATGCTGAGGTGGATGTGCGAGCACACTAGGATAGACAAGATTAGGAATGAAGATATTCGGAAGAAGGTGGGTGTGGCCCATGTGGATGACAAGATGTGGGGAGCGAGGCTCAGTTGGTTTGGGCACGTGCGGAGGAGAAGCCTTGATGCTCCGGTAAGGAGGTGTGAGCGGTTAGCCGTGGTGGGTACGAGAAGAGGTAGAGGGCGGCCTAATAAGTATTGGGGAGAGGTGATCAGGCAGGACATGGTACGACTGCAGATTTCCGAGGACATGGCCCTTGATAGGAAGGTCTGGAGGTCAAGCATTAGGGTTGTAGGTTAGGGGGTAGTAGAGATTTCCTTACTTCATACCCGGGGTGAGGCGGGGTTGGATTAGGGTTGATCTTAGATGGCTTGCAGTTTATGTTGAGTCCACACTATCCTTGCTGTGATCTTAGCCCGTGCCTTAGATACTGGTTATTGTTATTGCATGTCATTTATGTTTTGGTTGTTATGCTTCTGTTACTATTACGGTTTCTACTGGAGTTACTAATGAATTGTCTTTTCTTGTTTTTTATTTCCGTCTTTCTGAGCCGAGGGTCTATCGGAAACAGCCTCTCTGCCCTATCGGAGTAGGGGTAAGGTCTGCGTACACATTACCCTCCCCAGACCCCACTTTGTGGGATTTTACTGGGTAGTTGTTGTTGTTGTTGTTGCTGCTGCTGCATATAAATTAAGAAAAAAATTTATATACTAATTAGCACAACCTAAACATAGTGTTATTGGGCTCATGCGCAGCATGGGGTATTCATTACTAGTAAATATATAGGTATAGAATAATTCTGTAACCTAAAAATTCAATCACTTAATAGAGTACAAAATTGTTTAAAATGTATGTTGAATGGCTAAATTTTAAAACAAAAAGTAGGGAGTACAAATTTTAGCAAAGTAAAATCCATTGGGTGCGACAATATGTTCTCAACGGGTGAGAAGGAAGCAAGAAGCCCAAACGGTTTGCCTTCTATCTCCGTTATTAGGTGGGCTGGAGTGCTGATCCGTTTAAGACAAAAACAAAATGTTCAAACAAGAGAAAACTATTCAATTTGGTCTTTCGTAGCACAAATAAAATCAAGAGCTAATACCCTAAAACCTCATTAAACTATTATATTTTTGTCAATTTCCTACTCAAATTATTTAATGTGCCCAAAACCTCATGATCTATATCGCCTTTCATATTAAAAGCCACTTGTTGCTGTCCTAGCATAACGTTTAGATACTCGTTTGGGAGCACGTGACAGTTGAAAAAAGGCATCAAAATGGTCCACCTAACAGAAAATAATGGATAATTAGCCTAACCCTCTTTCACATTTGTTTTTTTAATGAGTATTCTCCTTATTTCAGTTATATCCATCTTTCTTCCTCGTTTTTTACTATTCTTCTTTATTTTTACATATTCTTCCTTATTTTTCACCTTCTTCTTCATTTTTTCACCTTTTTTCTTCAATTCTTCATATGGATTTCCTCTGGAAAAAATTCTCCTTCTCTTATTTCCTCTAAAATAATTTATTCTCTTTCTTGTTTTAGTCTTCTTTCATGTCTTACACATATTGTTAAAAGAATACCAATTTAAATCTTCTTATTAAACTCAACACCTTATAGAGAATAAAGTTTAATCTCTTGAACCTTCTTTATGCAATCTGGAATTATAGAATGTAATTGGTGGCCAATTAATTTTTTATTTGTGATATTTTATTTTTTGTAAACTTTTTTATGTAATATAAGATGACTTTTATGAAATGCAACACTATATGCCTTTATTATATATTTTATTGTGCTACAAAGTGAATATAAATAAGGACTTATCAATTTGAGTCTAGCATAAACCACAATCACAATTAAAACTAAAATTAACACAGTACATTATATATTACTTTGGCCAAATCTCCTAGAATTAATATTTGAGAGTAAACATCGTGAGTAAACTATATAAAGGACTTTGTAAAAACCATATGTTAATATAGTTAGACATACGTACCTTTAAAAGTCCAACATGGATTTTTAATACATAGGAGAATATAGTTAAGGGGGTTTGGGGACACCAGCTAGTTTAAGTAAGTAATTGACAAAAAATAATAATAGGTTAGGCAGGTCTTAGGCTGAGTTAAACAGCCACATGTTGTGCTACATGTCACGTTTTTTAGATAATTAGGAGTGTGTACTAGACGCACCTCTAAGAATGCAGCGCGAGGATTTTAATATGAAGGGCAATATTGTTCAGAGGGTTTTGGAGACACCGAATAGTTTAAGTAGGAAGCTGACAAAAACTTGATAGTTTAGGATAATTTTAGGGTATTAACTCTAAAATCAATATTAGCCAATTCATAAAAAATAATTAATATTAGTCAAATGCTAAATTCTTAATGCTACCAGTATTAGCTCAATTGGCTATTTGTGTGATTGTTTCTCTCTTTAGTTCACCTCCCCCTCTCCTTCTTTCTCTCTTATATAGCTAATTCGCAGAAAATAAAGGCAATTTTGGATGATATTTATTGGTGTGTTTAATACTATCTAAATTATTATATCCACCTAGAACTGCGTAATTTAAGTGCCAAACTAAAACTCTTCCAATACAACTTTAATATGGGGCTAACAACTAGGACTAACGAGTAGGGCAATATAGGTAGCCTTTCAGTTGAGCAATTAGTGATTTTTATACTCAATTGAATATACTGTATTTTTATATCAAAAATTAATTTCTTAATAATAAAAGTGACTCGTCCTTGTATTGCACATGGGACGTTAGCAATGGATAATATTAGTTTTAAGATAAATGCGAGAGTTTGATATAGTGGTGTAGCAAAATTCTTTGAAGAATGAAGAAGATGAGCTAAAACTCGATGAAAGCCATTGAAGCTTGCTTAAGTTTGAATTCGAAAATTGTTTCGAATTGGTATTGTTGGAATATATTTGGTACATCTCAATTTTTACATTATTTGGTGGAGATTTGTTGTTGTTTGAATTCAAATTTGAGCGAATATCGAAGTAGAAGATGAATATGGAAGGATAAGATGTGTATCACCCTATGTATCCCCGTGTATCATTTGTATATGTGTGTATTTCATGTATAATCATGTATACCTGTCTGTATGTGAGATATATTTATGAAATACATGTTATATATATCATAGAGAATTTTAGAATTCGATTTCAACAATGAATTTTGACTCCAAACTAGTCCGGTTCACCTCTAATCTTCCTCAAAATTTGTATATTACCTCATCTATGTGTATTATATGAATTCAACCATGCCTATTGAGAAAAAATTCTCATAAATATATAGTTAGATATGTATATCTAAACCAACCACAAAGAAAACAAGTACAATAAAGATACAGAAAAGATATACGAGAACACGAGAAACTAAAATATATCCTTGTACTATCTCGAATAATACATTGGTATATTTGACCCTTTTTCCCTTATAAATATCATATGTAACCAATTATATACTAGAACACGAGAAACTAATTTAAAAAGTAATTACCCTTGGTAGAAAAATGTAGCAAATAATTTCCTCCATACCAAACATACATTAGGAATAAAATCTCAAGAGAACGAGTGTGTTGAGAGTCATGCAGCTATCAACAGGGAGATATCGATAGAAAGATTATATTATCCAATATTATGATCCAATTCTCACTTAATCTTTTCATCTGTCTCTCTCATGTTCAACCTACTCCTGATTTGAACAATAAATTAACAATAAAGAATATAATTATTAAAAATAAAAGTTAGACTAATACTTCACCAATCTTCTATTCAGAATATGCAAGTTGCCACGTTTTTTTTCTTTCAAGAAGAGTAGAAAAAAAATAAACGAGAATAATGTAGATAGAGATATTGCAACACATTGAATGGATTCTTGTAGGGGTTGGTGATTTCGTAATCAAATTGACTACGACAACATACTTTGTGCTATTTAACGAGCGGCCAAGTAGAGTTTGGGAAGGGTAAGATGTACGCAGATCTTACCCTTATTTCGTGTGGAGTAGAAAATGTTGGACTTTGAGTCATTGGGCTTTAAAGTAGAAGAAGTGTGAATTGGAAATGGAGGGAAATAAAATGGAGGGAAATTAAAAATTTGAAGAAGTGAACTTTTGTCTTGCACTTTGTCCCTCATTAGTGAGGGACAACCACATTTGTGTGCTTATATATAGAATCACTTCTTAAAGCTCTTAAAAGGAGTTGAAGAGAATGAACCCTCGCCCGTCGTCGTCGCTCGGCTCGGCTTTGGCTTTGGCAAATGATCGATAAGATTATTTTTAGACAAAATTTATTTAATTATTTAATAATTAATTAAATACCAAATCACTGCTGAAAATACGCCACGCGACCGCGACAGGCAGGTTCAGAAAGCCTCTCTGACCGCGGTTCTGCCGCGACTGCGGTAGAACCGCGGCAGGCAGCGTATTCTTCTGAAAAGGCACC